GCCGCGGGCAGAGTGTCCCCCACCAGCTGGAGCATCAGGTAGGCAGGAGCCCAGGGGGTAGGGGGCTCCCCAAAGGCGAGGCTGGGTTGCAGCAGAAGGGAGCTCTGCTTTGGCTGCCTTTCCAGACGCACAGCCGGGCCGGGGAAACCGTTGGGGAGGGCAGCTGCCCCCCCGCCCCTTGCTGGACTCCAGTATGTGGGAAGCGGCTCTTCGGTGGGGCAAGCAGGATTTTTCCACTGAGCGTGGGGGACGGACTGCTCTGCTCAGGGGATCCGACAGCGCTGGGAAGATCTTCCTCTCCGCCACCTGGAAGGAGCTGGCTTGCCCTTCAGGTCACAGCGCAAGCTTTGAGGTGGCCGGTGGACTTCTGGGTCGGCCGCCTGGTTGGTGCCCATGTGCAGCCTCAAGTGGGGGGCTGGTTTCTCCATCTCCCTCTTGAGGAGACCTTTCTCAAGAGGGGCTGGCAGGAGCCCAGCCCTCCCATTAAGTGCCAAGGCCTTCTGTCCATGCTCAGAAAGCAATCCGAGCCTGCTGCCTAATGCAGGGGGTCGATGCCCCCGCTCACTGGGGCCATTTGCGCCCACACCGAAGCGGGCCCCGAGGGTCCCCTTCCCTGGCCCTTTGCCCCTAAGAGAGGCACCCCTGTAGGCATCCTGCCGCTTGGCGAAGGAACTCATCCTGCACCCCAACGGGCTTGTCCCAGAGGGAGGGCGGCCGCTGCGTCCCTGCCGTAGCCCTTGACCTCCAGATACCCTGGAGATCGTCGGGGATGGCGAGGAGATTCCCTTGTACAAGAACCTCTCTGAGAGCCTGGGCAAAAGGACCGGGAGCCGGGCGGATGGATGGATGTCTGTCCGTCTGTCCAGCTCTCCTTTTTATCTATAACTTTGCACCTCTAATTTTCACTGAAGCAATACCATTCTGTTCCAAAACACCCCCGATTGAAAACGCATGAATTCCACCACATTCCCCAGCGCCCCTGCCGCCCGCGTCCTCAAGCCAAACTCATTCCAAGGCCGTTCCCCCCTGGCAGAGGAAAGGGGCCTGGGACGAACGCGTTTCCATTTCCTCCTGGCGCTGGCGGGGCTTTGCTCTCCTTATCCCTCGGCCACCCCAGACCAGCGGCTCAAGGAGGACCAGCGGCTCGGCTCGGCCGCTCCTTCTAACACTTGCCTTTCCCAGGGACCGGCTGGCCACCCGCCCTGAAACCCACCCTCGGGATCCCTTCCTGCCCTCGGAGGAGATGTGGCAAGCGGCTCTTCCGGGCGCGCCTCGTCCCAGGCAACTGCTGGGCATCCTAGCGTGGCTCTCCCTCTGGCAGACGCTGGCACTGGATGACGGGTGAGGATGGATGGGCGGCTCCAGCCGGGCTCTCTAGGAAGAGCTGTGAAGGCCACCCGAGACTCCTCCGTTGCCCTGCTGTAGACTGGCCATGCGGGCGAGGGGGAAACGGGCAGCGGGTGTCCCATCGCATCTCTTGGGCAGGGTAGGGGGAAAGAGCCTCAGCTACGGATCGGTCAGTAATTATGCAGAGGGTTGGCGGGCAAGCACCAGGGTGCCAACCCACCGGTGTGCTCTCCGAACATGTGATGAATGCACAGGCCTGGAGGGGCAGCAGCAGTAAAGGTGAAGCGTCCTGGGGGGGCTCTGCTCCTCCTGGACTGGTACCCGCGTCTTCTTCCAGCACTTTTTTGCTCTGACTCGTAGCCCGCAGCTCAGTCTCCCTTCCAAACGTTCACCAAGCTCGGCTTCCTTTTCACAAGGTCGCTAGGGGCTCAAGGGTCCAGGAGCAGGAGGCTTCTGCTTAGTGGATGAGGGGCAACACGCAAGGAGAGGAGGGGGGTTCCTTGGGCAGCGCCCTGCCCGGCCTCCCCCAGTGCGTCACCTGGGGCTGCCTTCCTCCCTCCGGCAGGCGGTGGTGCGAGAGGGTGGTCCAGGTGCTAGACGAGGAGGTGGTGACCCTGCGCCGGGAGGAGGCGGTGCCCTGCCTGGATGTCTACCAGTACACCATGGCCGGCTGGCGCCTCGACCAGGACAGGACGCGCCGAGCCTCTGGCCCAGGGGGAGCCCTGTGCTACATCTACAAGTGAGTTGCTGGTTGCGAGGTGGCGGAGGGAGGCCAGTAGGAAAAATCCTGGGCTGTCTTTACCGGATGCACGAGGCTGGAGGGGCCCACAGGTGATCTCGGGCCCCTCCAGCAGCCCCCACCCACCTGGTCGCACAAAGGTTCGCGATCGAATTGCCTCCCAGGGTCGGCCGGGCCTGTCCTGCCCACAAGGCAGCCCTGGGTCTGCTGCTGAGGAGCCCAGGCGGGGCGGGCTGGTGAAGTGGCTTCGGACTGGCTTGAGGCTGCAGGGGGGGCGAATTCCTGGAAGAGCAGCTCCTCTGCCCCCCCTTTGCAAACAAGAGAACCAGACCCTAATTTTGAGGGGTTTGCTCACGAGAAGAGAAGCCCCTCTTCTTCCACTCTTCTGGGGACTAGGGCCAGGCAGGAGGTGTGAGCCAGCGGGGCTAGTGGTTAAAGCCCAGATCTGGACTAGGGAAACACGGGTTCGAGCCCATCCCCTGGTGTGTTTGGTTTAGGCATTATACCTGACCTACCTCACAGGGCTGTTGTGGGGATAAACAGGAGCTGCACGTGCTCCTTAGTTCACCTTGTGCTCCTGGAGGGGAGCCGGAAGGGTCTGCAGAGGCCGTGGTCCAACCCTGGTTCAAAGCTGGGTCTGCCAAAGCAGGTGACACTGGAGGGTGCGCGAAGAGCTACGCTCTGTAACACCTGCACGGCCACGTGATTTTGGAACTCGGTGGACGTTCGCCCGCCCAGCCTCCTCCGCATTTGTCCCTCTGTCCTCCCCGCAGGCCTGAAGACGCCCGGCCCTTGGCCTGGAACCGGACGGTGCGCACGTGCTGTGAGGGCTGGAGCGGGCCGCATTGCTCGGAGGGTGAGGGGGCCTCCCTTGAGCCGGGCTGGGTGGTCCTTCTCCTCCTCTTCCCCGGATGCTCCTCAAGGAGGGGCATCCTTGCTCTTTGGTCTCCCAGTGCCCACCACAGAGCCCCGATTTCCAGACCGGCAGCAGCGGCAGAGAGCAAGGCTGGCATAGAGGCCTTGCAATTTAGCAGTAGTGCCTGCTCCTGTTGCTCTGCCCCCCGCCCTCTTCAGCCGCCCTCCTCAGGGTAGTTCCACATGGGGTGGCGGGTTTGCCCCGCTGAGGGCAGGCTGCGTGCCTGCTTTGAGAGGTCGTGGATGCGGGTATTTGCCTGTCCCCCTGGCATTTCTGGGAAGACTCCCCTCTGGGGCGGCCCAGCTCGGTCCCCACCCGCCTTTGCGAGGTCAGCCAGAGCCTCCGACGGCTGCTGGGTGACAAAGAGGGCCCCGTCCCCCCCTCATCCTGGATCCGGTTTGCTTCCCCCTTGGCTGCTTGCAGGAGTGGAGTCGATGGGTCCCTGCTTCGCCACCTGGCAGTGCCAGGACATCCCCGGGCTGCAGAACCGCTCGCTGTTCAGCCTGACCGAGTGCTGTGGCCTCCCATGGGGGCGCAGCTGGCAAAACGCCTCCTCTGGGCTCTGTTTTAGCTGCTCCCGGCAGCCCCTGAAAGGTGAGTCGTGCTGGGCCCTTTGCAGGTTCACACTGGGGGGAAGGACCCAAGAGCGAAGCGAGTCTAGCGAAAGCCCGTGCCATCTATGCCAGGAGCCGGGGCAAGAGCAGCGAGAGAGTTCTCCGGCGGGAGAGCCGGTGGGGCAGGCTGCCTCCTGAAATGACACGTTCGCTGGGGCCCTGCAAGCAGAGACCCACCTCTCTTAAAAACGCGAGCAGGGCTGGCCCAGGTGACGCCAAGGCCCATCCGCCTCCAGCCTTCTGCCATCCACAGCTCAACGGCACCAGCAGCAGGACAACGAACTCCCCTGGGCCAGCCGCGGGATCGCCCCTCGGCAGCTGCTTCAGATCGGGCCTCCTTCCAGCGCCCCCTCGCCTCCCTGGCCCTCCACAGCTGCAGGGTGATCCCAGGAAAGGCGTTTGCTTTGGGGTGTTCTGGGCAGGTGCAACGGCACCCTCCTGCACATGTGCGCAGCACAGGGCAGCGCCTGGGATTGCAAGGCAACGAGGCTTTGCACTCCGCGGAGTCTGGAAGCGCAGCCCAGATGCAGCCCTGCTAACAGCCGCCTCCTCCCCAGACGGCCCGCCTTTGCCCTCCCTGCTCCGGCCACCCGCCCCCTCGGCGCTCCTGGCCCGGCAGAGGCCCCACCAGCCCCCTTTCGCCACCTGCCTCACCTGGGCCGGCTTCCGCTACCGCACCTTCGACGGCAAACATTTCCGCTTCGGTGGGAACTGCACCTACGCACTGGCTGCCGCTTCCGAGGGAACCTGGGCCGTCTACGTCTCCTCGGGCAGCGGGGGCTGCGTGCCTGGCCGGTGCCAACGGGTAAGGGGCCTTGGCCTGCTGAGCGGGAGGGGCTGTGGCCGGGGCTCCAGAGGAGCTGCCCCCAAAGTCTGCATTCTGCCCCAAGGCTGCAGGGAGAAGCCCTGCATCCGCTCCTGGACCCGTCCCACTTCTGGAATGCAGAACGCCATGCTTCAGGGCATGTACGGAGTGCCCCTTCAGGGCATGTGCAGATGCCTGGAGGGAAGCTTGGAGGCTGCCAGTCTGGGTGGGCTGAGCAGGGGCAGGGGCGGGCCAAGACCCACCCTCACGACCCTTCTTGCCCGGCAGGCCCTCCGCATGCTCTTTGGACTCGACCTGGTGGTGGCCCAGGGCCGCAACGTCTCGGTGAATGGCGCTGTGGTGCCGGAGAGGGAGCCGCTCTTGCAGAAGGGTGAGGGCAGGGGGCTCAGGGAGGGGAGGGTACCTTAGTGGGATTCGGGGAGCGGGGGTCCCCTGCGGGCTCCTCGCATGCCCTTCTCCCGGAGCCTGGGAGGGCCAGGCCAGCTGTGGGGTGGGGGTCCACAGCTTTTCCCTTCCTTGCCCCTCGGCTCCCCTCCTGTAGGGATCAGCATTTGGTGGCTGGGGGACTTTCTCTTCGTGGAGAGCGGCCTGGGGGTCCGGGTCAAGTTTGATGGGTGCAGCACAGTCTACATCACCGTTGGGACTGCACTGCAGGGCTCCACCCGGGGGCTGTGCGGAGTCTACAACGACGACCCTGCAGGTAATTCAGCCGGCAGCCGGAGGTCCAAATCCCAGGCCCCCGAGGACGCGACTGTGAGGGGCCACCTCACCTCTGTCCTGCCCCTCCAACCCAGTAGGGCTCCTCGCTCAAATGGACCCCCCTTTCCTTTTTTGTTGAGGAAATGGAAGGAGGGCCCTGGGGCTGCTTGGGGGAGACATCCAACGGAAGGTCTTCTGCGGGGTCCCGACAGGAGATGTGAACGCTTCCACCAGCCCCCGTGCAGGGCAGTCTTTGACAAGGGGAGGAATCGGGGGGCCCTGGAAGGCCCTGAGGGATCCCCAAGCGAACCCCTCCCTATTTGTCGGGGGATGCCATTCCCCTGCTTCCCAGCCACAGCCCCTGCAATGATAGGGCGGTGAGCATGTCCGGGGTGCTTCCCAGGGGCCCAGGCTGCTCAAGGGGGCTCAAGGAGCCCCCCTGCCCCCCTGCAGGCATTAGCCCTCGGCCTTCCCAGCATCATGCTCCAGTTCCATCTTCCTGAGCGAGAAAGCCCCATGCGCAGCTGGGGGGAGTTGGAGGGGGCTCAACGTCTCTTCTCTCTGTGGTTTCTGGATGTGGTCCTGGATCGTCCCCACAGCCTCTCCCTTCTGTGCCCACAGATGACTTCCAACGTGTGGGAGGGGACGTGGTCACGCTGGCAGCCAGCTTTGGCAATTCCTGGCGCATTCCAGAGGCCGGGTTGGTAGGTACCAGTCAAGGCTGGGGGCGGGGGGGGGAGACACGGCCTCCAAAGGGCTCAGCGCAGCTCCCGAGGGCCTCGCAGCTGCCCGCGTCCACTCCATGCCCTTAAAGAAGGGACGGGTCCTGCGTCCTGGTCCAGCTGGAGGTTCCTGGCGGGGGAGATCGGGGAGATCTCTCCGTGTGCAGGTGAAGCGAAGGCGGAATCATCGGCCCCGGGCTGCTGTGGATCCATGCAGCTCCTGGCTGCTTCCAGGACGGCCCTGGCTTGCCAGAGCTCCAGCCGGTCTCTGCGCCTGCGAGCATCATTTGTTCAGGAGGAGAGGGCACCTCTGGACTGGGCCTCGCCGGCCGCATTTGCCTTTCTTAGTAAGGCATTTATTTTTCTAAATTCTGCCAACAGGCGTCCCCTGAACACTGAGGTAATGACATAGAATTTAAACGGTCACCGAAAGTGTAGCTAAACTTTCTTCTAAAGCACATGGACACAGACACAGACGCCCCTTCTCACAATCCTCAGTTCTTCAGGGACGGATCAGGCGTTCCCACAGGATGATCCCGTGTTGCAGAGCGAGCCAACGGCAGAGCTCCTCCTGGCCCTTTTTCGGTCTGGCTCGCCGCGGGTGCTCCTGGAGGGGCTGCTCCCTCACTCGTCTGCCGTGCCCCTCCCTGGATCCCTGTAATCCCGGCGTGCCTTGTCCAGGGAAACTGGGGTGTCCCGGTTTCTGTATCCAGAAACAACTCCCACCTCCGACTTAGGAGAAAGCGATTCTGGACCACCAGAAGCGCCTTCCAGGAGGAATCCCCTCACTCACCCGAGATGCCCCTTCTGGGCCTGGCCCTCCCGCTCGCTCAGCTGGCTGAGAGGGGCTGGGGGGCAGCGGTCTGCCTTTTGCTCATCCTCTTCCTTTGCTCGCTGCAGGGTCCGTGCACAGATGCCGCAGAGGAGCCGCACAGCTGCGATGCTGCGCGAGACCCAGCAGTTCAGGAGGCAGCTGAAGCCACGTGCCAGAAGTTCTTCTCCAGCCCTTTCAGCAGATGCCATACGCAGGTGAGGAGTCAGGCGTGCATATGCACACGCGCATGCACAGACTCTCTCTTTCTCCCTGACAGGCTGTTTCCCCCTACCTCACACCATCCACCA